CAATAAAAGACTGCATACTGGGTACAGTGTACACTGCTCAGGTGATGGGTACACCAAAATCTCAGTAAGCACCACTAAAGAATTTATTCATGTAACCAAATACTACCTGCTCCCCAAAAACCTATGTAATAAAAAAATTAAAATAAAAAGGGCCCCTGAAGCATCCAAAAGAGAGCTGATAAGGCCTACTTGGTATGTTAAATTATAGGGAAGCACTGTCAAATAAAAAATGATGTTAAGCCTTTAAAAAAAAAAAAAGTTTATATCCCAGACAGTATCAGGTGCTGTAAAGAATATAGCCCAGGGTGATGTGTCAGTGGAGAAGGCAGTTATGGGAAAATCTGAAGGAAGAACATTCCATACAAAGAGAACAGGCAAGCCAGAAACACATGAGCTCAATATGTTTAAGAAACAAAAAAGAGGCAGAAGGGTGGGCACAGGGAGTGAAGGGGAAGTCAGAGATGCAGGCAGATCCCACATGCCAATGGTTGGTTATGCAAGGGAGTGGCCTGGTCTGTCTTACTAAAGGGAATTCCCTCTGCCTGCTCTGTGAGACTGGATTGTGCCATGACAGCCTATAGAGAAGGACTTCATCACTACCTGTTGATGAATGGATGCTCCCCAACATTCACTGGGGTTAAGAGGTATGGAGAGGTTAATCAGCTCGGCCCCAGGGCTCTCACAATGCCTATAGGAACCCCATCTCTTCTTATCTACATTCCGCTTCTATGACTTTGCCTTCCCAACATCCCCTTCACCGTGCTATGGAATATAGCAAAGAAGATGCAAATCCAATTGCTGTCCACCCATCCACCCATGCCCAGCCCGCAGCATTCATTCAGCAGACGTTTTCCATGTCCAGGACTTGCTGATGCTGAGGACACGAAGACAAGCAACATGCCAGCCCTGCCCTCAAACACTTCAGCATATGAGGCCTGTGAAAAGCTGGCCAGGTGCCACCCACAGCCACAGCTGTCCTGCCCTGACCTCTCCATCCACAGCCTCCTACTAAAGTCTCGCCCTGGTAAAACCTGCTGTGAGCCCCTGAAACAGTTCCAATGGGCGGATCAATTCACACCAAAGGGTTAAACAGAAAGACAAGCTCAGTGCCTTGCCGGCTTCCTCCACCCCACCCCAACCTCATTCCTCCCTCCACCAACCCAGGGGAAAAAATCTGTTTGACCTCAGGAATGAAGTTGTAACTGATGGCATGGCAGGTACTATTTATTCCAGACAAAGGAGGGAGGACTTTGGTGCTGGTTTGAAGAGTGGGTGGGTGAGGGGCCATCGGGGACCTATCTGGGGCACAGTCAGGGGAGGAAGGAAAGAGCTTTGAATGCATGCCTCAAACCTCCTCGACCAGCCCCACACAGAAATGACTCAGCTTGGAGTCAGAGGGAACCACATCTAATTCGCCACTTACAAAATCTCCTGCATAAAAATCAGTTGTCATTATTTAGAAAAGCCAACTACCCTCGTGTTAATAAGTTCTTGAGTTCTCCCCTATGAGATTTCTGGGGTGTAGCTCACTTTGTGCAAATGGGAGATTAGTATCTGACAAAAAGTACACACAGTGGCTCTAGAAAATCCTTGTAACCCATCATTTCTCAGCCTTCTGGATAAGATCAAGTGTGGAAAATCCTTGTATCCTAAATTCCCCAGGGCAACTGGCACTCCAAGAAGCCCTGCAGTATGCCGCACACAGTTCGGGGTTGACTCCGGTGCCCTCCGTCCATGTGGTTAGTAGATAGGCTTCCTTCCAGTGGGACACAGCCATCCCGGGAGAAGTCAGCGCTGCAGATGGTTCCAGACCCTTGAGTCTCTTCTTCCCAGGAGGGGAGGAGGGGTTATAAATAGCCTGGACTCCTTCAGCCCTACACAGGCACAGATCCCACACCCCCGCCCCAGCCTCAGCCAGCTGGTCCTTCCGCGCCCAAGTTCCCACAGCCTGCTATGAGAGGGAGGACAACTGCCCACCCTCGGCCGGGGGCAGGGAACAAGAATGCCCTAGTGACAGCCTCCAGTGAACTGTAACTACAACCCCACCACTCCTTCATACCCCTCCACACCACACCTGCTGGAGAGGGCTGAGGGGCGGGCAACATTACTACTGGGTCTCTTATACCCTGGTCAGCCCAGAAAGCCCAAAGGTGCTCAGAATGTTAATTCAGTGGGAAAAGTTACAGGAATAATACTCTCCCCATCTTTCTGTCTCAGTTTCTCCCTTTGTGATATGAACAAATAGCTGAACTGTCTATCTTGTGGGAATGCTGATGTGATTAGCATGCAATGAAAGTGAAAGGCATTGTAACACCGTATTATCATTGGGTTATCAGATCTTAATTTCTTGTGTAGGACCAGTAAACACAGGAGATGTGGAGGTGCAGGGGGCGGGGGTGGCACTGATTCTTATCTGTTCATGAGAGCAGAAGAATTATACCCGGCAGCTCTGCGATAGCCTTGAATTCTTGATACTGCATGCCCTTGAAAGGAATCAAACTTACAAAAATATTCTCTCTTGCAAGTCATTTCTGACTAATGCAGATTGACACATACTGCATCCAGCTTATTTTAATAAAATTCTGCTGGACTGTAGATGACATTACAGACTGAAATCCAGCAACACCCTAGAGTATTATAGTTTGGGGGTAACAAGTTCATGTAATAATCACTCTGTTTATCATTCAATTCCTTCCTACTCATACACATTGGTACAAAATAAGTGGCTAAAATTAAGTGGCCAACTTGTAGTTCTTTTTAATTTAGACACTTTTGTTTGCTCAATAAAATGCAGAGTAAAAAAACATTTACTGAAAACCCACTCATTGACGTTTAATGACTGTGTCAAATAATCGCAACAACATTTATTCCAACACCCCCAGATAATTGCTCATCTTTCTCATTCGGTATCCACAACAGCATAGCATTTGTGTCCAAGTGTAATTGATCCAAAATTGGGCTCCCTTTCAAAAATATCTGTAAAATCTAATTACCAGGAAAACAGAGTTCTGGCATCCTATGGAAAGTGGGTGCTTCAGTGAAAAAGGCTTCAAACTCTTCTTGGCTAATCAAGCTGCATTATGTTACAAAAGGAGCTTGAGGAATTTGGGATAATGAGGGAGCAGAAAAAGTTGGGATAGTATCAGACTGGACTTTGCAGTGACAGTCCTGCTTTTTTTAAGGCAAGGGCAGGGGACAGGAAATATACCACGTTAGCTGGCAAGCATGGATTTAGAAAGTACCAGATAATGAGTCCATGATGGGCTTGGGGTGTGAGGATGGCATTTCTGATCTCAAGCCCTACCAGGCCTTGCCCAGGGAAGTCTCTCCACCCTTGCCTGAAAGGCTGATGTCATTTCTGGTCTCACTGGGTCTCTAGCCACTGCAGGAGGTCACTTTCCTTCCTCGGGCCTGAGTTTGCTCATCTGTAAAATGAGTGTTCCTAATATCTCTAGGGTGTCTTTCAACTTCAAAATCCTGTAGCCTTCTACAAAGCAAAGAGCAATGCTTTTTGCTCGTGTACTCGTGGGGGCAGGGGGCAGGGAGCAGGAGCTGCTGGACCAAGGAGAATGAAGGACTGAGAGTTTCCACCTCTCACGCAGTTTTGTACCTACTTGCAACACCCAGGTATCGGACCCGCTCTGGGAATAATGATTTCTTTCAGACCAGGACGACCTACCGAGTCGTCTATCTGGCTGCCTTGGATTCCTTGACCCCACCAATGAGGAACAGGGCCAAGCCACCGGACTTCTTGGAGCCTCTCTCCCAGGGCTGGGCACAGTATATCTTCCTACATTAAGGGGTCTTCCCTTCCCACTCCCACCCCTCTTTCTGTCCTAGAAGCACCAGAAACTCCAGCTGTAGCCTTGCACATGGTCCAGCGAGGCTTCCTAGACAGGCAGCGCAAGCCACTCACCCCCAGCTCCCCTCGGCCTTGCGCCCGCGCTGCGGAAGCTTGGGTACCAGCCTCCACAGCTTTGCAAATTGCAAAGATAACGAGAACTGCCGCTTCGCTTTTCTTTGGCTCCTCCTGGCCTTCATCCTAGTAAAATCAGACAAGCAGCCGGAAAAACAAAGCACCACAGCGGCAGAGACAATTCGCTTTCAACGGAGCAAGAGACGTGCACACCTTGAGCGAAGACGCGCGCAGTTCTCGTGCGTGTTGCTGGGACTAGACCCCGCACTACCCTGCGCGGGTGACAGGTACCTGGCCGGGCTCTGTTTCACTTGTCCAAGGCTTGGAGGAGCTATGCGTGTGCGACCATTTCCTCCAGCTTCACAATTTGACAACAGCAAAGATCTCTGAGTCCCGTTTGAGCGCCACCTCGGGCAGGGACCGCTACTCGGTACTCAGATCTCATTGCGAGGTGCGGGGTCCCAGCCTTTCCAGCTCATTTTCCAATTTTCAAGAAAAGACAGCGTGAAGTGCGGTTGCCAAAGTCCCAGGAAAACGTCACTCACCAAAACGCTCCCACGCTTTCCCGGCAGAAGTGCGGTAAAACTTTTGGCACTAACCACCTGTGGCTGCCAACGGGCCCGCCCGGCTCGGGCCCGGAGGCGCCGCGGAGCCCCGGACCGCACGCGCCCGCATAAGTTCCTTTCCAGCCCCTCGCGCCACTTCGCTCCGTGCCGCGGTGCTAGCCAGGAGGCGCGGCGCCCGCTCGCTGGCTCGCTCTCCGCTGGCTCTCCCCTCCCTCCTTTCCTCCCTCCCTCCTCCCGCCTCCTCGGTTGCATGGCTGCCGCACGGAGCCCCTGAATAGCCACCGCAGCCCCCCGCCTCCTGCCCGCCGCGCGGAGGGCGCCACTGCCCCGCCTGCGCCCAGGAACAAGCGGACCGCTGGCCTCCTAGCAACGGCCCCCGCGACCGCTTTCCTGCGTGGCCGTGGCAGAGCCACCCTCCCGGCGCCCAGCGACCTCCCGACCCGCCTCGGCTGCCGAGGTGCAGGAGAGACTGCGACCCCGGCAGCCGGAGCCCGAACCAAACACGCGAAGCCGCTCACCTCCGCGCGCCTCCGGCCCTGCTCGCCTCCCGCACTTGGCCCCGAGCCGCGGTCCTCGCGTCCTCCTTCGCTGCTGGGGTCAGCCGGTTCCTGCGCGTCCGAGCCGCGCCAGCCGCGCCGCTGTCAGAGTCTCGTGGCGGGGCTGCGCCGGCGGGTGTGGAGCTGAGCGGCGGCGGCGGGCGCGCGGGCAGCTCCTCCCTCCCCGCGCCGCGCCTCCGCCCTCCCCGCGCCCCGCCTCCCGCGCCGCGGCTGTCAGCCCAGTGCCCAGCGCCCCGCGCCCAGCGCCCGCGCCGCCGGCTCGGGGGGCGCACGGGGCTAAAGGGCCCGGATGTCTGCGGTCGCCTGTCGCTCGCGCCTGCCCCCTCCCCGCCCCGCCGCACATGCACTTGCTGCGCCCTAGCCCCCTCCCGGCTCCGCTAATTTCTATTTTGACAGTAACTGTGGCGAGTGGGCGGCGCCGCGGGGGGCGCCGGGGACCCGCGGAGGCGGCGGGCGGGAGTCGGGTCCCGGCGCGGGGGCGGAATGGGGGGCCGGGCACCGCCACCAGCCGCCCGGGTTCCGCGTCTTTTCTCTTTCTTTGCTTTTTTCTCTCTGCCTCCTCCAGGATTTAAAGGGACAGCCCCGGCCGAGGCGAGGGGCCAGGCGGCCGCCGTTTCTCTGGTCTCCAGACGCCCTCTGCGGCCCGGCCGGACCCACCCGCACCCCCAGCGCAGGCTGGGGACCGCCGCGTATTTTTAGGTCCACACCCGACCCGGGGCAGCGGTGCGGCAGAGACGGACTCGGCCGCCCCGGCGCACAGCTATTTTTACAAAGTCCGATGGGGGTGGAAATAAAATAATTCGGCAACTGCTTTTTCACCCAAAAGTCGGGAGCAAGGAGTGGGGGCGAGAAGTTAGTTTCCCAAATGCTCTTGGCACTCCAGCGAGCGCAGCAAGACGCCTCGCCGGCACCAGAAACCGCAAGCTTGCCGTGCTCCGGGATGCCCGAATCCCAACGGGCACTCCCACCCGGCCGCGCTGCGGCCCGGAATCCCCATCCCTCTGGGCCTTGGGCCCCGCACTCCGCACCCCGCGCGCCTGGGAGCAGCGGCGGACCGCCTGTCACTCCCGGGGACTGCCTGGAAGGCGGCCTTCCGACGCGTCCAGTCACCACGCAGCACTGCCAAGGGGCGGGCCCGGGAAGGGCTTGGCCCTGCCCATACTGCCGGGTCCCACCCCCTCGGAGTGCGTCCCGGCTGGGAGTCTCGCTGCGCGAGGAGCGCGCAGCGGTGCTGGAAGCCACGGAGGGCTCAAGCGAGAGGAGGAGGAGGGGTCTCAGCCCTGGAGTGGGCTTGAGCATTCGCCGGCTAGGCGACACTTGGGCCGCGGCACACTCGAGCTGGCTTTGCCGCCTACCTTTTTGCAGTCCAGCCCTCTGCGCTCCAGACAGACGCAGGAACCCTCGCCCTCCCTGGTACTACATCGGAGGCTGCACCCTCTCAGGTCCTCTCCTGGACTCCTCCCTCAGATGCGGGAAGGTTTGCAGTCCTCAAACTCCTACCCTGCTGCGCTTAATCTGAGCTGCGCCGGGCGCCCAGGAGAGGCAAGCAGGCGAATCCCAGCCGCCTAGTCCCCATTCTGGCTACAGATTAATAAAAGGGCAATGGGGCTGCTGCTGTTGGGTAATGTCCTTTAATGCTGAAGACACTGGATGACATCCTTTACAGAATTCACAAAAATAAATTGGTGAACTTTTGGTACTTCTCCCTAATATCACTCATTGGGATTTTTAAAAATCATTTCCTTCATTCGTGTAAAAAACGCACATTGCAAGATAGTACTTTGGGGAATAGTGAAAACAAGGGATGGACTCTGGGATAGGCTGTACCTATCCCAGAGTGGACACTAGGTATGTACCTATCCCAGTGGACACTAGGTATGAACAGAAGGATCTGAAATGTAGTGTTTGGGTACGAATATGTCATGTTTAATTCGCCAGAGAGGTCTGGTTTTTCCAACTAAGTAAATGTCACTAAGTGAACAGTTTGGACAGCCATCTTACCCAAACTATTCAAATGCACATGTAAATCTAAGATAGTCTATCATGAAAACTCTGGTATGTTCAGGCTCAGGATGTTAGATTTCCAAGTTGCTAAAGCATCCAGAATGGCAAAAATAATATCTCCTGCTTTCAGTAGCTCTGGGAGCCACTGCCTTCCCAAATTAGGTTTGTCTGTTTCTCTGTTAAATTAAGTTGCCTGTCTTGCTTCCTTTTATTAAAGGGTCTTCAGCAATTTGGAATGCTGCTGACTCAGCTGATATGGTCCAGCTTCCAAGCTGTAAGTCTGGCTGTGCCCCATGATGCCCAGACACCTGCAGGAGATAGAAATGTAGTTCTAGGGGTGAGAGCAGCTACAGCCATAAAAAAAGCATTTGGGATGAGAAAAGAGGGATGTCTAGTAAATAGACGCTAATATAAACGTGGGTCTGAATTGGAAAGTTTCTCCCCTCTTCTCTGGCTTAAAGTAGATGTTCCATAGCTTTAGTTTGTGGAATAGCTTGGAAAGGATAGAGGAGATCCAATGGATTCACGCATCTAATGGAGGCTGTAAGATTTATTTATGTTCTAGTTTGGATATAAGTGCAGTGGTAAACTTGACTTTGCAATAATCAAATAAAATTTACTTCCAGACTTTACCAGTTATCAGACACGTATCCTAGAAGTAAAGCATGTCATTCAATTCTCCAGGGGCTCCATTTCCAAATCTGTAAAAATGGAGATAATAATAGGTCCCTTTCTACTCCATAGGGATGCTGGAATGGTCAAGTGAGAAAAGGCGGGGGCAAGTGTTGCCCCATGAACAACATTCACTAAGGGGCTACTACGTATCAAGCACTGTAGAGTACATTGTAAATTGTCAATATTAGTTATGGTGATAAATTCTAAAGAAATTTTCTGAGAATTGTTATCAAATGTTTACCTATTTCCCAAGGATGTTGAGAGACTGATTCAAGAAAAGAGAAAAGAGGGGAATTAAGAGCTCCTTCTAGATCAGAACCTATGGTACGCATTGCTGTATGTTTCTCATGACAACTGTATGCAATATATTTTGTTGTGACCATTGTGTAGATTAAAAAACCTGACGTCAGTAGAGGTGGTGATGACCGTGTTCCCACCGGTGGGCAGTGGCTGGGGCAGCATCTGGATCCGGGTTTGTGAGTTCAGAAGTCCACAAGCATCCTCCCCTGCTATGCTGCCTCTAGAGGAGAAAGGAGGAAGAGGCTTTGAGGAAATCAGAGCAGAAGAGAAATTCAAGGAAATCATGGTCTGTGTTACCTACCATAAGGCATATTTGTTGAAGTGCCTTCCTGGAAAAGGTAGCACTGGACTCAGTAATTAAGTTTGCATGATTTTTTAAAATTTTTGTTAGTTTTTTAAATTTTATTTTGAAACAATTTCAGATTTACAGAAAAGTTAAAAGATGGTATAAAGAATCATCATATATCTTCACCCAGAATCTCCATGTGCCAACATTTGCCCATGTTTGCCTACCCTGCTGTTTTTCTGTGTATACTTTTTTCCTAAACTATTTGAGCATAGGCTGAAGATACGATGTTCCTTTACTGAAAAATTCTTCAGTGAGTGTTTTCTAACAATGAGGACATTCTTACATAATCAAAATCCAGATTTAACCATCAATACAACACTATTTTCTGGCCTGAGCTATATTTAAATTTCACCAACTGTCTCACTAGTAGCAAAAATGAAAAATAAGTAAACTGTAGTCAGGATTCAATTCAGAATTGTATATTGCATTCAGTTATATCTCTTGAGAGAGTATTTTTTGTTTTATTAATTTTTGTTTCTCATTTTAGTGGCCATACATTTATGGCCCATATGGGATGACAAAGACTTTCTCCTTGACCACATTTGAGGCAGGCTCCTTTGAGCCTTCATTTCCACTGGCCTCTCACCATTGGGTCCTCTCTTCAGCTAGCCTAGTGCAGTCATAGAAAAAATCTTGCTAGGTCCATTTAATGAGAACCCCCCTGACCCTTGATCTCCAATCGCCCTGGCATGCCTTTAGCAAGAATCCTGTTAGTTTAGCAAGAATCCGCCTCCCCTTAATGTCTCTTCTTAGTCATTTTCCATCCACCAAACCCCTTACTCTATTGCTTGCCTATAAATCCCCACTTCCCCTTGTTGAGCTCTGTCTCTCCCCCAGCTGCAACACTCCTATTACAATAGCCTTCAATAAAGTCTACCATTTCCCTACCACTTTAATATGTGTCAGGTTAATATTTTTAAAGGGCCAAAGAAAATATAGAAAGATCAAAACTCAATTATAATTACTCAGCAGCTATAACCAATATTAATCACTTTTTCAAAATGTACATGTGTAATCCAACCACATGACTACCATTCCCTTCCAGGGGCCAGCTTCCCCTAGAAAATATCAAGGATATGGAAGTTCTACTCTCTGTTCCTCCTGAAGTTCTTCCTCAGTGTCCAGCATGATCCTGCTGTCCCTAACCTGGCCATAACCCACCTCACCCTTTTGCTCTCCACCCTAGACTCCAGTTATGATCTTCCTCAAGAAAATGCTGCATCCCCAACAGCCCCCATGAAGAAGCTGGTGGGGACAGGCTGGGCCTCTTCTATACACCTGTTCTTTTGTTTGCCAGACTGGGGCCTACAAAGGCTCTACTGGATAACAGATTTCACAAAGGGTTTTTAGCTCAAGGGAATTAGAATGTAACACTGGACAACTTGAAGCTGTGCATGAGATATGACTTTCCTTCCCTCATATTCCAGGGAAGAGCAAACAGGGGTTCAACTCTCCATACAGGATCACTTGATGGTACACCCCTGCTTCTAACCTGACTTCCCAGCTTTCAGGAGATCTTCTTGCCTCATAGGCAACTCATCTACCTTTTGACGTGACTCTCCACAGGAGAACCAATCCCTAATCTCAGAAAAGGACTTTCCCTGGTTTCCCTCTCCTTCCTCCTTCAAACATGCATTTCCCAAGCCTCAGTCATCTAGCCACCTAAAGAAATACTCTGGGGTAGTTGACTGGTCTCCAACACCAATGTTAATGGTGATCATTGGCATCACCAGTATAGCTGACCAGCTAAGCCAGCCAGGGAAAGTTGGGTCCA